CCAGCGGCTCCCTGCGACTCCGCTGGGCACTGCTGCTGCAGCGTCCCCCAGGAGAGTGTGTGTGCTCAGCGGGGAGCAGAGCTTGGGGAGCAGAGGGGACACTGGTGACTTGTGCTTTTCTTTCCCCCACTGCCCTGGATGGTGCCCGCTGACCTGTGCCGCAGGGAGAGCGTGGAGAGAAGGGTGATGAAGGCACCCCGGTAAGTGAGCGTGTCTCTGCCGGGTACTGCCTCCCCCTACCTGCTGCGCCCCCTTCAATTCCGCCCGCCATGCTCACCTCCTCTCTCCCCCAGGGTGAATCGGGCTTGCCTGGCAAACCTGGAGACAGGGGCCCCCGGGTAAGTGCTGGGGCTGGGGACCACGGCAAGGCTAGGGGAGATGCCTGGTGGCCTTGAAGCTGGCTCACACTAATGCACGTGCTCCCTCTGCCCCATGGCCCAGGGCCTCCCCGGATACCGTGGCCCTCCTGGGGAGAAGGGTGATCCAGGGGACCCGGGTCCTGATGGCAGAAACGTGAGTAACACCTCTCGCAAGTCTCTGGCACCTGCTGCCCCATGGGCAATCACTGCCCCATGGGCACCCGCTGTCCCGTGAGAGCCCACTGTCCTGTGGGCATCGCCATCTCGTGGGCATCACCATCCTGCGAGCGTCATCACTCTCTGGGCACCCACCGTCTCATGGGCATCAATGTCCCATAGACATCCCCATCCCATGGGCACCTACAGTCACGCATGTATCACCACCCCATGGGCACCCATCATCCTGTGGGCCTCACTACCCCATGGGCACCCGCTGTCCTGTGAGCATCACCACCGCATGGGCATCACCACTCTGTAGGCTAGATGGGTAGGCACCCACCATCCCATGAGCATCACCACTCCATGGGCACCCACCACCCCTGGGCCCCCCATCGCCTTCTGTGCCCCCTGTCCCCTCCTGCCCTCACCCCATCCGTTCTCTCCCACAGGGCAGTCCCGGAGCGCAAGGCAGCAAGGGTGACCGTGGGGAGCCGGTGAGTCATACCTGCCTGGGATGGACACAGGGCCACCCACCTGTCCCCCCTGGAGCTGGCCCTGTGCTCCCTGGGGTTGCCCCCAGGTCCTGCTAACCCTCTTCTCCCTCCCCTTCTCACAGGGGCCTCCCGGACCCCCAGGACGAACCGTAAGCTCTGCCCTGGTTCCCCCTTCCCCGCTGGTGGGCCAGTGCCTGGGCCCGTAGGGTCTCACTGCCCCGCTCTGCCTCGCAGGTCGACGGGGGGCTCGGAGGAGCGGGAGAGAAGGGCGAGAAGGTAATGGGCAGCCCTGAGAGGGACGAGCGGGTCCCTTGCAAGCGGTCCCTTGCAAGCGTGGTGGGAGCGGTGCCTGCTGCGCTCCCCTGGCCGGGCTCTGGCTGCCCACGGGGGTCCTGCTGGGGTCCTGGAGCGCAAAACTCCTTCCCACCCAAAGCAGCCCCTAGCCACGTGGAGCTGATACGCAGCCCAGCTTTGTAGAGGGCTAGAGCGCTACAGAGGAGGTGTCCTATTGCAAGAGGGCTCAGTCCCGAGGCGGTTTCGGCCACGGCCTGTGCCCTATGGGGTGCTGGAGGGTGTCGTGGTCCTAGGCCGCGGCCGGTGCTCAACTGCCCGTTGCCCAGCTGTGCTGCTTTTCCTCTTTGTTGTGTTCACGCGACCCTCCTGGCTCTCTGGGGTGCGTTTCTCTGACGATCAGTAGCATCAGGGAGCTGTGCTGAGCTCTGTGCTGAGCTGTGCTGAGCTGTGGGGACCTCTTTTTCAGCCCACGCCCGTGTCTGCAGGCTTTTGCTGTTATCCCACGCTTAACCTGTACGCTGTAACAGGAGAGACGCTTGGTGTGCGGCTCGCTTGGTGCGAGGCTTACGGCCAGCTGCTCGCAAGGGCGACCCTGTTTCACCGGCCGCCGGGCAATACCCTCTAAGTGCGCTGCCCTTCTCTGGCAGGGGGACCCTGGGGACCCCGGGGAGGACGGCGCAAAGGGCGCCAGGGGCGAAGCTGGCTCTCCCGGCCTGCCTGGAGAGAGGGTAGGTCTCTGCATGCCGGTGCGGGAGGTGACAGGATGGGCGATGCTCCGCGGGCTCTCCCGCAGCGTGCGGGAAGGGCGTCCAGGCAGGCTGCTCCCGGCTCCCTTCATCTTCCCCTATGCGCCGGCACTGAGCACTGCTCTTCTTCTGTCTCTTGCAGGGCATCGAGGGCCCCCGAGGTCCCCCTGGCACCCGGGTGAGTCCTGCCTTCCCCGCGGGGGGTTCCTGCCCCGCTTGGTCCCCGCT